CGCCTTTTCTAAGCGGCTCCGGCTCTCTGGCCGAGCTGGGCCCTCCGGGATCCCGGACGCAGAGCGCCGGCCCTCGCTGGGGGTGCCGCCAACTCCGGAGGGTGGCTTGGGACCAGCACCTGGGTTGATTCCCGGGTCTCCAGCTCCCCCTCACTAAGACCCAGCGAGGCAGGGGCTCCAGGCTGGCTCTGCTTTGCCCCCCGGGAGGGGAAGGGGAGAGCGGAAGGCGAGACCCACCTGCCTGTGGGGCATGTGCTCGCGGCCCTCGCTGGGGGACCTGGACCAGCGCCTGTCTCTGGAGCGGGGCCGGCTGTACTCGTGTCTCTCCTGCGAGTAGCGCTCCTTGTCGGAGGAGGGGTGGTGGTGGCGGTGGCGGTGGTGATGGTGGTGGTGCTTCCGGTCCTTGGGCCGTCCTCGCTCCTGCTCTCGCTCTGTGGGAGGTAGGTCGCCCGACGGTGTGGTCATGCTCAGCTCCGTGCCCAGCCCTGCGGGGGGGGCACAGAGGTTACGATGCTCCTGGGAACCATTCGCTATCAATCTGAGCGCCTGCGGGCAGGAAACACGCCCGGCCCTGGGCTACCTGGACTCCCGCGCTGATCAGAGCTATCGCTCAGCAACCCCGGCTTGGGCCTCCGCTCACTGCGGGGTTAACCAGAAGTGACTCCCAGGAAGGCAGTGGGCTGACCCTGGGGCAAGCGGGAGGAGAACCAGCCCACATAAAAAACTGATTTCAACAGCACTGACTTGGATTTGCACCAGTGTAACCGAGATCAGACCCCACGGTGCTCGCTCTGGATTTGCACCAATGTAACCGAAATCAGACCCCACGGTGCTCGCTCTGGATTTGCACCAATGTAACCGAAATCAGACCCCACGGTGCTCGCTCTGGATTTGCACCAATGTAACCGAAATCAGACCCCACGGTGCTCGCTCTGGATTTGCACCAATGTAACCGAAATCAGACCCCACGGTGCTCGCTCTGGATTTGCACCAATGTAACCGAAATCAGACCCCACGGTGCTCGCTCTGGATTTGCACCAATGTAACCGAAATCAGACCCCACGGTGCTCGCTCTGGATTTGCACCAATGTAACCGAAATCAGACCCCACGGTGCTCGCTCTGGATTTGCACCAATGTAACCGAAATCAGACCCCACGGTGCTCGCTCTGGATTTGCACCAATGTAACCGAAATCAGACCCCACGGTGCTCGCTCTGGATTTGCACCAATGTAACCGAAATCAGACCCCACGGTGCTCGCTCTGGATTTGCACCAATGTAACCGAAATCAGACCCCACGGTGCTCGCTCTGGATTTGCACCAGTGTAACCGAGATCACAGACTCTAACCCCAACAAAACAGGTGCGGTTTCCCACCGGGGGAGGTGAAGGGGGGGAGAGGGGCATAGAGCAGGCCAGGCCGTTAGCAGGGGAGGGCAGCCTGGGCAGTATCCAGGTGCAGAGAAGCCCTCCCGGCCTGGGGACTATTCATAGCGTAGCCCTGGCCTGGGCTGACGTGAAAGTGAAGGGCTGGGGGCCCAGGGGCCAGGACTGGCTGGCTCGGGGGCAGGGAATGAGGCCTCCCCCGGGTGGTGCCGCTGGTTCTCCTCGGGGACCACCCTCTCCAGCGAGTAGTCGTCCAGCCGGATGCCTTTGGCGCGCGAGTGGCCCAGCATGGAGGCCGAGCGCTTCATGGGGCTGGTGTCTGTGATCGTCTGCAAAGGAACCGACAGACCCAGACCCACAGATTTCTGGGTGGCCGCGGGAGTGAGGGGGGCAGCCTGCGGGAAGGGGGCGGGGCTGGAGGTGCAACAAGAGCCAACTCAGCCTATCCAAATCCTGCACCTCCCCGGCCTCCCGGGAGCTGAGGAACCACGGAGGCCCCCGAGCTGTGCACGGAGATGCCTACAGGCCCGGCTCTCCACCCTGGAGCCAGGGTGTTGGGCTGCTCCTTCGCCCAGGGGAGGCCTCTGCTCCTCGCAGGACAGGACCCTACTCCAGACCCCCGATTTAGCAGTGACAGCCGGCCCCCCCAACCCGTCCCAGCCCCAGCCGGGCTCAGCAGGGCACCAGCGGGGGCGTCTCTCGGCTCGATGCACCTTCCCGCACGTCCAGCTCCAGGCTCCGTTTCCTCCTCCCGTTGGACACGGCGCGGGGGGGCAGAGCTACTGTGTGCAGACCGGGCAGCCCCCGGTAGCACCGCGTGACTGGGCCCCCCACCAAAGGCCCCCCCCTTGCCCCAGCCCACATTGGTGCCCGGGCTAGAGCCGGATCCAGCCGCTGCCAGAAGGGGAGCTAATTCTCCTGGGGCTTTGGGCAGTTTCCTAGCGGAGAGGGGAGGGGGGATAAAAGATCTACCAATGCTGCCAGCAAAGGAGCGGCCTGGGCTTCCCCTCGGAGGTCATTGGTGGGTCAGGGGAGGGCCCCAGCGCCCCACTGTGGTTATCAGCCGAGAGCACAGGGCACCAGGGTGCCACACCCCTCCCCCCCGCAGCCCTGGTCCTGCTTGTGCCTTCAGGCCACAGAGGCCCCCTGGGGACCCGGCC